CAGAACAAGCCACAGCTAACCTCACCTTGACAGCTCCTCGTCCGATTCTGTTTCCTCAAACTGGAAGCCTCTGAGTCCTCATCTGAATGGATCTCAGCTGAACTGCTGCTAAAAGCCTAAAAGCTTAAAAGCCTCTAGTTCCTGGTCCTCACGCCTATATACCTTTCTTCTTCCTGCCATCACTTCCTGGGATTAAAGGTGTGTGTCTTTCCCAAGCAAGACATGAGATCGCAAGTGCTGGGATTAAAGGCGTGAGTCACCATGCCTGGCTGTTTCCAGTGTGGCTTTGAACTCACAGAGATCAGGATGGAACTCTGCCCCCAGAATGCTAAGATTAAAGGCGTGTGCTACTACTGCCTGACCTCCATGTTTAACATAGTGGCTGTTCTGTTCTCTGACCCCCAGATAAGTTTATTGGGGTGCACAATATATCAACTACAGCATTATACCATCCCAAGGAGCTCAGTTCCTCAACCATCTGTGTCACTACAGCCTTGTCCTAGGGTGCCTTGGCATCTTAGACATCATTCCTCTAAGAAACCCCCCCTGACAGTCTAGGCACCTGCTCCTCCTGGACTTAATGTCATCTTTTATCTACAGATCAGTGTTGACAGTTACCATGGATTTACCTACAATTACTTGTTAATGTCTATACCCCCAAAGACCTCACCGCTAGATTCACTGGGGAAACCAAGGCAAGAACCATCCTTTTCGGAGCGGAAGGCTCAGAGGCAGTAGGGGAGACAGATTTGTGGCCCTGCTAAAGTGCATGCTCATGAGAAAGTGGCATTCGGAGAACATAGAGGTTTGCGGTACTGTTCAGGAGGGGTACTGCCGATGATCTGAAGGCCGGGGACAGCAAAGCTGCTCATACGGGGACACATGTCCTGAGGGTTGAAGGACAGTGGTGACCAGTTAGGCAAAATTAGGAAGATGGGGAAATGGTGCTTGGAGGCCAAGAAAACAGGAATACAAAGGCATTACATCAAAAAAACAAAACAAAACAAAATACCAAGTCACACTCAGGAACTGTAGCAGGGGTCTGCATGGCTAGAGAGCAGAATAGGCAGAATAACTTGGAGGAAAGAGTTTAGGGCAGGGTTCCAGAACACTTGTTAGCATGGCCAAAAAGAGAAAGAAGTCGCCTGTGTGTCATGGATACGTGTTTTCGAAGAATTTATTTGTTTTGCTTCGTACTGGGTCTTAACGCCAAGACCTTACACATGCTAAACACATGCTGCACCCCTCAGCTCCGCTCAAAGCCTTCTTGAAAGAATTTACCCAGAGGAGCAGAAGGCCCTGTGAGCTGTATTAGGAGATCATTCTACGGCTGCGATAAGGGCGGAGGAGAAGAAAGTGACTGCAGAGGCTGAGAGTGTCCATGAGAGAAAATGGAAGATGGGGAGTCCAGCTAAAGAGGGGGCAGTATAAGAAATAGCAGGAGGAAAATGAGTCTGAAGATTCCTAATGCCAAGAATGGACTGAGCGGTTAACGGCTTGGGGGAGAGAGTTCAGCTTTTGGTGTTCTGATATCGAAGGAAGAAACATCAAGAATGGAGGTTTGGGGATGAGGATGTAGCTCAGTTGGTAGAGCGCTTGCCAAGCACACAGAAAGTCCTGGGTTTGATTCCCAGCACCACATAGAGCAGATATGGTGGCATATAACTAAGCCCAGCTCCCAGGTTGTGGAAGTCAGCATACCATTCTTGGCTACGTAGTTAGAGGTCAACCTGGGCTACATGAGATTCTGCCTCAAAAGGAGAAGGGGTTGGGAGATGGTTAAGAGGTTAAAACTCTTGCTACATGAGTTTAGATCACTGGAATCCATGTGAATGCTGGGTGAGCAGCCCATCCGTAGTTCCAGCCTTTGAAGGTGGAGATAGGGATCCCCAGAGCAGGCTGGCTAGAGACCAGCCATATCAGAGTATTCTGGGTGACTGAGAGATCCTGCTTCATTAAATGAGGTAGAAGAGTGATCTAGCATGATGCTCAGCACTAACCTCCGGCCTGTACAGGCACTTACACCCATGTACATGTGCATTCATACATGTGTGCCCCCAACTTGTAAATATGCACACACACACACACACACACGCACACGCACACGCCCACGCACACGCGTGCGTGCGCACGAGAACATGAACACTACCTTTGGCCTCCAATCCATGAAAAAGAAAAACAAGGAAGAAGAAGAGGAAAGGGAAGAGCAAGAAGGGAAGGAAGGGGGAAAGAGACATATGAATGAAAAAAGAGGTAGAAAGAGAGGAGAAGGAGGAGGAGGAGGAGGAAGAGGAGGAAAGAACAAAGAGAGAAGGCCAACAGATCACCAAATGTTGAGATCCTGAGGCAAGGGAGGAAGTCTGGGATGGAGGCGGCCACTGCGGACTCATCTCTACATGGCTCAAAGCCATGGGTGAGATTTCCCAGCAAAGCTTGTCAAAGGCAAGGAGAGGAGGACTGACTGCTGCTGGAACTCTGGGCAACTCACCCCGTGTGCAGGCGGAACAAAGGGATGCAGGCAAGAGGATGAGAGGGAAGCCGGACTGGAATCACACCAGGGGAGACAAGTGTTCTAGACACCGGGGAAGCAGAGTCCAGAAAGAAGCCAGATCAAGTCACAGCGGGAAGTTCCCTGGCATGGGCATCGAGGTGCTCTGAATTGATGGCTGCCAATGCCGCTCCATGCAGCAGTGAAGTCAGAAGTCACAATGCAGCTTGAATGCACAGAAGCAGAGAGCGTGAAGACACAGGAACGGGAGTGTGGAAATGGTATGGGAGTGAAGGGGAAATTAAGAGACGAATACCGTGCGAGCGACGTTGGCACAGTGGTCGGCCCATAAAAGGCACTCAATGACATTTGTCAAATAAAGGTTGGATGGGTTGCTAAACAGATGAATAACGAGTCAGGGAAGACCTCTTGGGTTCGAAAGCATTTAATTAGCTATTTTTCTTCACGAAAGACGAGGAAGAGGATTAAGCAAAGGATTGAGAGGCAGAGCCTGAAGGACAGATGCACACTCATGGAGCAGGCTATGCGAGAGAGATGTAAGTAAGTAAGTTCCTGGGGTGGGCAACTGGAGTGCGTGTTTCAGAATAAAGATTGGCTTACAAGTTGGGGACAGAACACCAGAGGAAGACCCCATGAAATAATGGACAATCAGAGCAGCAGGAGCAGCAGGTATAGGGTACAGTGGATGGCATACCAGCAAACTCGGTGACGTGCTCCATTGTAACGTAAGTTTTCAGGGGTAAACTCCCATGGGCTAATCTGTTTAAACTCTCATGGACTCATCTCAGCACCCCAACGGTGATTATTTGGGGTAAGTTCAAAATCTAAGTGCCCCTGCAACCTTACCATTGCCCTCTCTGAAACCACATACCTTTCCTCTCCTAAACCACACAAGACACCAAGAAAGGGGAGTAAGTTTAGAGTACTCTAGATTTAATGTTGTGCATCATTGTGTGTGTGTGTGTGTGTGTGTGTGTGTGAGAGAGAGAGAGAGAGAGAGAGAGAGAGAGATTGAGAGAGAGAGAGAGAGGGAGGGAGGGAGAGAGAGATTGAGAGAGAGAGAGAGAGAGAGGTTGAGAGAATATGCATATGGAGGACACCATGGGGCAGTCAGTTTTTTCTGCCAGTATGTAGGTCATAGGAACCGATCTCAGGTCCTCAAGCTCGCCATAGCACCTTTACCTGCCTAGCCATCTCACTAGTTCTGGAGTAGCATAGACTCACAGACTTGGTGAGCAGGAAATACGACAGGTCCAGATGATGTTGGCTGACTGTGAAAATGGATCTGAATCTGGACAGTTTTCACAGCGAAGCTGGAATAGTCAGATCCTCCCCCCCCCACACACACACACAGGAACACACAGACTTGCCGTGAGAAGAAAGCCTTTTTCAGTTGTTGAGGACGCACCGTGAACACCATGACCTAGTTGCTGGGCCTTTCGGATGTCTGTATTTGTTTAGCTTTGCTCTCTCAGTTTTTGTTTCTCTTTTTACCTTAATGTCTGGGTTTCTTTTCTTGTTGAATGAAATATTCCGTACAAAGTGCCTGAGGGAGCACCCGGTGTGTGTGTGTGTGTGTGTGTGTGTGTGTGTGTGTGTGTGTGTGTGTGTGTGTGTGGTTGTAATGGCTGACTCTGATCTCCCTTCGCCTCTCAGTCTCCTAGCCTTCCTGCCACTGCCTATGGTCCCTATGTGAAGCCCAGAAACACTCCTCCACCGCCAGACACTTGCAGAGATGGTCAGCTACCTAGCTCTGGTTTACAGCTTTTCAATTCTGGGCCAGCCACAACTTGGGGACCTAACTGTGAAACTGATAAAGCTGGCATTCCAATGAGCAAAATCACTGCTCCTTTTGCTGTCTACTGAGACACCCATTGCCAGTCATCTGCTCTTCCGTTGGAAAGCCTCGACTCAAACCTCACATCTGTGACATTAATTCAGCCCTTAGAAGACCGATCTTTAAAAAAAAACCACGACCTTTGAGTCTGACCCAGCACAGACGGAAGCCCAGGAATGTGGGGCGCTGAGAGACAGAGATGAGCTTTGACAAGGGCAAGAGGTGCTAGAGGGAGGATCAAAGGACCAGACTTCACAAGCGACTCCAGATCTGCCAGGAATCCTCGGGCAAACCCAGTGCCCTTTGGCGCCGGTATCTCGCACCTGTAAACTACACATGACGGTCTTTGGGTCCTTGTCCTATCACAAGCCCTCAGGTGTGTGCACGCCGTATCCCAGTATCCCCACCCCGCCCCGACTGAGTGCAAATGGTGCTGTTAACCCTGACCTTGCATCTCAGCTCCGCTGCAGCTTAAACTCCACTTCTCTGAGACCCGGCTGGGTGAGCCTTGCTGGGCCAACAGACAGCTACAGACCCCTGCCTTCCGGTGGAGGGGCTGCGTCGGGGAGGGGGGGCGGGGGTGGAGCAGCCGGGCAGGTTCCCGGGCATTGAGGGCAGCAAGCTCGGGGCCCGTGGCTGTCACCGGCGGGAGCGAGAGCCGGCTGTAGGCGGCTCCTTCCTGTGCAAACTTTTCTGTGCTCTTCCTCCTCCCGCGCTGCGCACCGCTGCTTGCGGCCGCCTCCCGGCCCTGCCAGCCGGCCGGGGGCTCCACGCGGGGCTGCAGAGGACAGCGCAGCCCTCTGCGCCGGCCCCACCCTGCCTGAGCTCGCTCCCTCCCGGCGCCTAGGGCCGATGGCGGAAGCCGGCAGGAGCCCTGCCATGTCCCCGGACCAGCCAGCCGGCCAGGAGGCGGTGGCAGCGGCGGATCTGGACCCCGAGCCCGAGGCTCCCAGCCCGCCAGCGCCTGCCCTGCGCTGGCTGCCCGGGGACCCAAGTCCCCGCGGCCGCTCCCAGAGCGACCTGTCGTCCGCCTCGAGCAGGGGCCGCCCGCTCCGGGTCCACATCTCCGGCTCAGGTAAGGGTGGCGCGGGATGGCCTGGGGGTGGCCCAGGGAGGGCTAGCCACGGGCAGGTGGCAGTCGCCCGTGTGGCTATCATCCCTGGGCGCCCGCGGGCTGCCGTGGTGGGGGGGTGGCGGGGGGCTGAGAGCAAGGGCGAAAGCTGCTGTCCCCACATCGCCGCCTCCAGCTGGGCTGCAGCAGCTTGGTGTCCCTCGGCTGAGGGGCAGGCGACCGGCGGCGGGTGCGTCCAAGTGGGTGCGCCTCTCTGCTGCGCGGGTGCAGCGCGGCTGGGTTTCCGCGGGTTCCCCTGGACTCCCTCTCCGCTGTGCGGCGCCAGGCGGCACCGGTGTTGGCTTTGGTTCTTGGGCTAATTTGGTTCTTGGATTAACCGGTCTACGGCGTGACTGTGGTCCCTCCGAAGGGTGTGGTCCCCCTCACTTCAGGGGCTAGGGTTAGTACAGGGCTTGGAAGCTCTGGCAACTACTCACTCCTGCTTCTGAAATAGAGATTTCTTAGCGGGATTGCTGGTAAGAGGACCTGGAATTCGAGTTTCCCTGACTGTGAAAACCCATAGAGGTGTTAATGAGACCTTGGCCTGGCTGTGTGTGTATTGCTTCACTGTTCTCTGGAAAGCCTGGAGCCTGTAGAGCAAACCTCTACCTTGTGTCCTCCCTGAGGCCAGAACAAAAAAACCCAGGGACTTCACTGAGGCCTGATGCTGCCCAGGCTGTACTGTGTGATAGAGGACTAATGGCTTAACTTTGTCTCCCGCATCTCAGTGGCTAATATGGAACCATAGTGTGGTAGATCATGTGGAGACCTTAGGTGGATTAAGTCATTATTTAAATCTCCTAAGAACTGGAGAACTTGTGTCTTTTAGTCCCGCCGATGTGCCCAGTTTCCAAGCGTTGTTTTATAATTTTCAACCTGTGAAGGCTGCTTGGGAGCTGGGAGACTAGACATGGAGGACATGAGCATGACCAGCTTCAAGAAAGCGCTTGCTGAAGCAGGCTGCACCCCTACCCCCTACCCCCAGCCCCCATCCCCCACCGCGGCTCCCTGTGCCTTTCCTGTGCTCTGGGGTCATGCCTTTCTTGACCTCTCACCCTCCGTTTATTTATGTGTGTATGTGCACATTCAGGCACCCCTCGGAGTGCATGCAGAAGTCAGAGGACCGTTTGCAGGGCCTTGGCAATCAAATCCAAATCCTCAGGCTTGATGTCAAGTACCCTTACCCACTAAGCCTTCTTTCCATGATCTTGAACTCAACCTCACTTCTAGCTTGAAAAGAGGACATTTCTGGGCGTCTGTCTCCACGTCAGCTACCTAACTCTTGTTTCACCATCCAAACTGTTTTCTATTCCTGATACGGTCTTAGCTACCCAGTGTGTTCAGGAAGCATCGGTGGTGTTTCTGATCTGATCTGGAAGCTTGCCTTTGGATAAAGGCGGTCAGAATCATTAAGCTCAGGTTGTGAGATGTCCATCACAAAGAATCCATCAACAAATTCTTCCTGTGAATATATTTTGTGAAAAGTGTTGAGTGGAAAAGCATCTTGCTGTCTGCTTTGGGGCCAAACAGAATTGGAGCTGCAGATATTCTTGATTGACTTTTTAAAAGATTAAAGGATTAACCATTCCAGTGACCCAAAGAGACAAGTGAATATTAGTTTAGTTGATAACTGTAGATAAACAAACGTAACTGTGTTCCAAGTTTTTCTTTTTAAAGACAGGAATTAAAGCTGCATGCAGGAGAACAGTAAGAACTTTAAATGTGCTTGTATGCATGTACATACACCACGTGACAGTTTCAGGAGCATCTGTTTATCTTGAAGGAATCTGGTTTTCCCGTGTCCATATAATGGCTATTAGGAAGTGACAGCTTTCAACTTATTTGTCCCCTGCATCACAGCCGTATTCCTCTTTCAGAACTAAGCTTTGGGTCTTGTGGTGGTTTGAATAGGTATGGCCTATTGGCTCATGTGTTTGAATGCTTGGCCTGTAGGAAGTGGCACTATTAGGAGGTGTGGCTTTGTGGGAGTAGGTGTGGCCTTGTTGGAGGAAGTGTGTGACTATGAGGGCAGGCTTTGAGGTCTTATATGCTCAAGTTAGGCCTAGTGTGACAGTCTCCTGCTGCCTGCAGACCGAGATGTAGAACTCTCACCTCCTTCTCCAGCACCATGCTTAACTGCATGCCACCTTATTCTCCACCATGACAGTGATGGACTAAACCTCTGAAACTGTAAGCCAGCCTCCGTTAAATGTTTTCCTCTGTAAGAGTTGCTGTGGTCATGGTGTCTCTCTTCACAGCAATAGAAACCCAAACTAAGACAGGTCTCTAAGAGCAGGCTAGATGTAGTTATGACCTCACCTTTCTCTGAATCAGATGAACAAAGAATGAACCAGTCCCTCATGGATATGACATGCAGAGCATTTCCCAGGACAGTCACTGCCTCTGAGCAGGCTGGGATGCCCAAGTTAACTCAGGAGCACAATGAGAAGATGAATCTCTTTATGACAACAGTCCTTGGCCTGATGCTGAAGTAGCCCAACTTCAAGACCCTTGCCGGAAATTCTGGGCATGGTCAGAGGCAATATCTAGAGATTAGGTCCTATGTAGCTTTCGCAGACTCAACCTCTGCTCCTAATCTCAGTCCCTCCCCAGGCAGACCTACTTAATTTGAGTCTACATGCTGCAAGATGCCCAGGCTCTTTTTTTTTTTTTTTTTTTTTTTAAATTTTAAATTCTAAGAAGTCTTTCTCTCGGACACCAAGTTTCAATCTTAGCTATACATAGGATCATTTGGGAAAATGGAAAACAACAATAAAACAGTTTCTGGATGGGCCCATCTCAGGGATTCTGCTATGATTGGCATCAGGGGCAGCCTGGGCATCAGGGGACTCTAAGGCGTAGCCTAACATGAGACATGCCTTCTTTTGGCTGTGCAGTATTGGGATACTGTGACCAGAGTTGGCCTGAGCAAGTGGAAGCTTGAAGCACCTACGCCTGCTCCCTTCTCTCTTATCCACCCCTCTACCACACCCTCCCAAAGCATTTTTTCCTGGTGTCCAGTCCCGATTCAGCTAGTTGTCAAAGAGTTCTTCCTATAGGACCACTTTCTTTTTCTTTTGGTTTTTTTTTTTTTTTTTTTTTTTTTTTGAGACAGGGTTTCTCTGTGTGGTTTTGGTGCCTGTTGTGGATCTCACTCTGTAGACCAACCTGGCCTCGAACTCACAGAGATCCACATGGCTCTGCCTCCCGAGTGATTAAAGGCGTGCACCACCACCACTACCACCCAGCAGGACCATTTCTAATTGCTGTGGAATAATCAATCCTTTTGTACACTGTAAAGAGTTAATTCCCTGGTGTTAGTCCTTGACGTTGGATGAATATCAAGCAAGGAGAGAGATCATCTTTGGCCACGCCATAGAGAGGAGAAGAAGAGGGAAAGAGGGACTTTCTTCTTGGGTTACCAGACAATGCCTACTCCAAGATGAACGAGCACCCTCTCCAGCTTTCACCCATCTCCTGCCCTAGCTTCCTGTCCATCCTTGAGACTCAGCCCCTAAAATTGCCAACTGCTGCAATCAGGGTCATTCAAGGCCAATCATTTTTAAAGGTCTGCTTGGTGCCAGCAGTGTATAGAGACATCCTAAGAGCCCCTGCTCCTCTCATTGCCCTGGGTTATTACCAGCTTTTCTAAAGAAAAATACCTCATAGTTCAGGGGCTTTTATTTGACTTTTGGATTCAGGAGCTAATTTTTCCACATAAAACACATGCATTTTGTCAGGAAGATCTATAATTAAAAATCCATACAAAAATGGGTAAAACCCCCAATATTTTCAAATAAGTCATCTTTAAATTAAAGTCAAACTGGGGTTGCTTTCGCATCCTAAGAGCTCAGACTGATTTTTGTCTTTTTATTTGTTTGTTTTTAAACTCACAGGGTTCTGGGGGTTGATCAAAGCTCTGGACTTCTAAAATCTAATGTTTTGGTAAATAAAACAATCTTCAGAAGTGGGATCTTGAAATGAAGTTCTCATAGTTGGCACTCAGGGTTTCTATTAACTTTTCCACCCATCTTCCCAGCCTTGTCCCTCACTCAGAGCTTTACTGAAGTGGCCTGTTTCCGATATGCTTTTCTTACAGGATTGTTCACTAAGCAGAGGCTGCCAGGATGCTGTCCAGGTTATTATCCTGTCCTTAGCATCCAGCAAGTCTTGGCTAAGCTGTGTGAGGGACAGATATTATTTTGGACCCGTGACTCAGTCTTGTCCAAAGTGTGGTGATGGTCTGTGGGCTGGATGGAGGTGCTCTAGGCCAGCAACCAAGGACACCTGCTACCTTGACATTTGTATAATTCAGAGTGCAGAGGGTTTGTGTTTGTTAGTTTTTGCCAAGCAGTGGGCATCAAGCCTTACGTTTACTTTCTGTCTTTGCCTGGTCACAGAACAAAGAGCAAGGCTAGCTGGCTGGCAAAGCTAGGCCAGTTTGGACAATGTAAAAACAGGCTGGGTGCAACAGGTTCTAGAAGACTCAAATCCAGCCCACCTTCTGCCCTTGTCAGTCTAGGTATCTGGTGTGGACATAGGTGCCCATCCTATCCTCACAGTAGGAAAGGAAAATGCTCTCATCTTTACAGCTAGGCCAGAAAATGATTGCCCAGCCAGAAGGTGTGCCTTCCATCTTCTCACACAGTACTGGGTGAGCTCAGGGAGTCCCAGAAGTAGCATGTTTTAAAAACCTGCTTCATCTGTGAGTAAGGTGGTCCCTCTTCAGTTAGGATGCACTTGACCTGGGTCCAAAACAAGAAAGTTGTCAAGAATTTAAGCAACCGGTTCCTCTTTCTCTGCCACTTTCTTAAGGCTGGCATGACCTCAGCAGGCCCACAGCTTCTGCTTGCCTCTCTGCTGGCAGGCTTTCTTCCTCTCTAGTTTGAGCCCTTTCCCCTCTCACGTGGGGCTTTCTCCCTCCGCCACTGTAACACACAGCACAGGCACTCTACCCACCCCTG